AGAATAAAATTATATATATATATATATATATATATATATAATCTGTATTTATTAACCCTGAAAATGCATATTGAGTTGTCTGTACCTGTGATGTTTTTCCTGTTCCTGATTTGCGGATGCAGTACAGACCGTTCGGTGGGCAGGTGTATGTATCCTTAAATAATCTGTAATCAGTAAGTGAAGACACAATTAACAATGCAATCGAACACAGTGACTCATGAACTAGATCAGAGGTTCTGTTGGATCACCACAAGTCAATCTGCCTATTCAAGCAAAAACAGTGCAATTACAACTCCATTCCACTAGAGGGCAGAAATACAAAGAAAAATACAACTATCATGCTCATATACTGTATATGACTTCAAATATTGTTTCGGACAAAGAAACAAACAAACACTGTTCTAAAGGATTCAGGTTCTTTATTGTGTGTATCCCAATGTGTATTTTTCACAAAGGACGCATCAAACCATTAATTGCTTGGAGTAACCAAACTTCACAAAATGAATGTAATAAACACAAATATTTTTTATTTACCTTTCAACATTACTGGTTTCCATTGTGTCCACGAAGACAGAGGGAGGCAAATTCACCTGATCAGAAAGAAAAAAAAACATGTGACAAAAGGCATTATTATTATTGTGACAAAACCAGGTCAAAGGTTAGGTGACCCTATGTTTAAAAAAGAACTTATCTTGGTAAATGTTGCAACAGCAAAACAAAATAGATGGATTGAGAAATTATGTCAAATCCTCCACAATCTATTTCGATTCAGCAAGACATTGAGTTAGTGACTCGTGGTTTCTGCTTCGATAGACAGAGGAAAGTTTATAAAGATGTTTAACATCACTCCTTAAAACGCTCAAACTTAAGCCTAGGTGTACACAGCACTTCCTGAAACGTCTAGGCTTTTCAGCTGCACCTGGAGCACCTACACGTTTTTTCTTTTTCTCTTTCTTTTTAAGTAAAAATATGTCTAATTTAAAAATGAACTAGAATTTGTTTCCACAATATCAGTGTGTTAAATGGCCGTTTTCCTGAAGTAACTTGAGTTGAGCTCAAGCGATATCAGCAATATTACAGACGAGGTGAACTTACATTTTCATAGTCCTCATCATCTGAGTCTTCTTCAATTTTGCCTGGCACTCGTTTTTTTAAAGGGTTTTCTTCAATAGAAGAACGAAAACTCTGTCCATCCGGCGATGCTCTTCTGAGAAAAAGGCGCAGACAATTTGTATAAATAATCTCCTGGAGTCTAACCAACATCCAAACAAGCTAAATGTTGAAAGTCGATTTCTTTAATTCAAAACTTGAATTATTATTTCTCATAATTTTTTTTTTTTATATAATATATATAAATAAATTATACTGTAAACAACAACAACAAATAAATAAATAATTAAACTAACTATAATATATATAAATGAATGACTGAATAAATAAATAAATTAATTAATTAATAATTTTAATTAAAAAAATCAGAGTCATGTGGTATTACTGACATGCAGATACATGCAGGAAAAAAAAGAGAAAAAACATAAAAAAGGAAATTGATATGATATGATGATAAAGAGGACCTCTCATGACATTAATAATACAAGGCAAGGTTAGCTCAGGTTTTAAAATATCAAGTATAAATTTCCAAAAAACGTAATATTTATGCATTCAATTAATTGTAAAATACTTTTTGCCTTGAAAAGTACTGAATAGAATATCATATAAAATTCAATATTAAGCTAATTAAATCACTGTTATAATAATGATTAAGATGTGTATGCTCGCATGTATTCAAAGGTGTAAAGAAATGTTTAATTCTAATTCTTATTTGGTTACACCACATGACATTTTCAGAATCATTACATTTCTTGAAAACGAATAATGTTTTTCAAAACCCTATGACATCAACATGAACACAAAGACGTTGATTTAAAAAAAAAAATATTTGTAATGTTTTATGCAAACACAAACACTTGTATATTATAAGACTCTTTAAGCATTTGTAATATAAGAAGTTTTATTCTAAACTTCGACACTGCTGCTTTGGTCCTCTCACATGTGTGGTTTAACTCTCTCACATATGTGTGTAAAAAGTCATTCTAGCTAAAGAATGCAGTTGTTATTCTTTTTTTAATAACAGGACTGAGCATGAATGTATTTAACCCTTTAAACAGCAGCCCTAAATACATTTATAGCCATAAAAGTCTCTGCGGTGCAACTCAACAAAACACCAAACCAGACACAGATCTCAGTGAGGAGAATGAAAGACACTTACTGGAAGGAGGGTCTGTTGGGTTTCGGTTTGGATGGTAACGGAGGCTTGGGTATCTGACCGAGCAATCTGTTGCTGACAGAACCGGACAGGTGAGGCGAGACGGGCCGGGGTACAGCTGTGGGCTTCACCCCCAGGTGCTGGCTAGAAATGGACGGTTTCGACGAGTTCAGAATCACTTTCTGCAAGTTCTCAACGATGGGTAAAGTAGCCGCCGTATTCCCAATCAGAGAGGCATTCGGCTTCTTTTCGCAAACAGGCATTGTGGAAAACGGGCCTGACATGGACTTCATGCTGTTTGGAGGGGGTAAAGGAGGCATGGGGCCACCAGGGCCTCTGTTTGACAGGTGTACGTCTGGTTTCTCTAGGTGCGGGGCGTACGGCAGCGGCGGAGGAGGACCTTTGCTTGTACAGGACGGTTTTTTGAATGGAGGGGGGAGCGGAGGCAGCGGTCCCTTCGTGAGACGGCTTTCTCTCGGTTGAACAGGAACAGGGGGTGGAGGATACGGTGGAGGAGGAACCGTGGGTCGACCTGGAAAAACACATCAAACAGTCATTCCACCGTGTGGTTATAGTGCTAAATATTCTCAGCAAATCTGAATACAACTACAAAGGTGTCTCGAAATGTGACAATCACTAATTTCCACCCATTCACTCGTAGAAAATAGGTGCAAAACTATCACTGGCTTCAAAACGATCACCCTGCTAATTTTAAAAGGAAAGACCACAGACAAAGCCTGATTTTGTTTATATGAAGAGATTTTTTTTATTTGTGTTACTTATTTATTTGATTTGGGGAGGAACCGTGGGTCGACCTGGAAAAACACATCAAACAGTCATTCCACCGTGTGGTTATAGTGCTAAATATTCTCAGCAAATCTGAATACAACTACAAAGGTGTCTCGAAATGTGACAATCACTAATTTCCACCCATTCACTCGTAGAAAATAGGTGCAAAACTATCACTGGCTTCAAAACGATCACCCTTTCAAAAGGTATGTTCCCTTGAGGTTCTACCTTTTAGGGGTAAATAAAGGTACAGATATTAGGGATATAACGATTAACCGCGAGCCGGTTGAAAATCGATTCAAATATGCGACGATTCAAATCGGTTGAGATGCTAAACAAATCGCGATTCAGTTAGGGGTAGGAGTTTATATGAATGTATGTCTGAGGGGAACTTACTGTCTTTAGAAAAGTTTAGATGGCATTTTTTCTTTTCAGTGAATCGTTACATCCCTAACAAATATGTCAACTTTTGTACCTTTTAGCTCTGTGACAGCTGCGTCCGTTTTTTTCTGAGAGTGAAGAAATGACAGAAAATCAAGCATCTACCTGCTGACACTGGCGATCCATCGTCTCCATCGCTGTCTTCATCATGTATCATATAATCTAAATGAAAATACATAAGTTAAGTCATGCACAATGCACATAAATTGAGTCAAGCACAATTTTTAATTGCATTTATTGTTTTGCAATTGATTTATTTACAGAGTAAAAGTATTTAGTAAAATAAGAATAAACCGTTTTTAAAAAATGATATAATAATTTATATAATTTAAACAGTTTTAGACATATACTTTGTTACATGAAAGGAAACTATTAAATACTACTATGAAATTTGTAAAAATGTTTACCTGCTTCAGGATCTTCTTCAACAGGACTGATGTCCAGCGGCTCCTCTAACTGCCCATATATACTCTCCGAATCTAAATCATCACTATTTAAACAAGAAATTTGAGAGAAAGGTGACTCAGAAGACGCAGCTAACAATGCCAATGAAGAATTGCATTAACAAGCAGTGAAGAGGAAGAGGTTAAGAAAGAGGAAGAGGAAGAGGTTACAGCTGTAAAAGAAATTCCCAAGAAATCGAAGATAAGATGTGAAGGTAAAAACCCTATTGTGTAAGAATAATATAAATACAATTCATGCATCATTAGTGGTTTTAAAAGCACAAATGAAAATATGTGTTATAAGTACAACATGCACTTATCAGTGACTGAGCATTTCAATGACGTTGATTTAATGTGAGCAGACAGTAGGTTTTACCTTGGAAGAGGCAGATCTCTTTTATCATTATAATAGCTGATTTCTTTTCTTAAGTTCCGCATCCATTTCTATAAGAGATAAAAAAAACAAAAACATTAATCCTTAAAAACAGTTCATAGTTGTGCAATGCTATTTGACATGCCTACAGCGTGAGCTCACCTTTCTCTCATCCTCACTCGCTGCTGAGAAATACCACGTTCGGTGTCTCTTACTGAAGTGGACGATCTTAAAAGGAAAAACGTTGCTGGATGTTGTTTCCTCTGCTGCACGTAAGACTCTGCCAAGCAATAAAAACAATGGTCATTAAAATATATATTAATTTAAATGCACACTACTACTCAAAAGTTAGGGGTCTTTATATATATATATATATATATATATTTAAATGCACACTATTTATTTATTTTGAAGAAATTAATACTTCTATTCAGTAAAGGATACATTAAATTGATCAAAGGTGACAGTAAAGAAAAATGTATAACAGTTTCCACAAAAATATGAAGCAGCACAACTGTTCTTAACATTGATAATAATAATAATTATAATAAAAAATGTTTCTTGAGCATCAAATCTGCATATTAGAGTGATTTCTGAAGGATCATGTGACACTGAAGACTGGAGTAATGATGCTGAAAATTCAGCTTTGATCACAGGAATACATTTCATTTTAAAATATATTCAAATAGAAAACGGTTGTTTGAAATTGTAATAATATGTTATAATATTGCTGTTTTTACTGTATTTTTATCAAATAAATGCAGCCTTAAGTGTTTCCATTAGTTAAAATGAACTATCTATTGATCATAGTTGATGTTAATTTCAACATTTACTAATACTGTATTAAAATCAAAAGCTGTATGTTAATATAATTTAATGGACTTGAGCCAAAATGAACTAACAGTTGTATTTTTATTAACTCACCTTAATAGAGATTAATAAAGACTGTAACAAATGTATTGCTCGTTGTTGGTTAATGCATTAACCAATGGCAACTAATGGAACATTATTATAAAGTCTTACCAAAGTGGTATTTTCCATTGATAATTTATGACACCTAATGCATATCTAATGTTAACAAACTGAACCTTACAGTAAATTGCACAGAATGTTCCACACTAGTCAACATGAAACAGCATTTGACTTCCGGAGTAACCTTAACCAGCAGTAAATTACTGAAATTACTGGTAATATTTTTAGAAATATTGCATTACATAAAACATTAGCCTACACATTCAAACATTTAAACTTTAAGGCTTATCAACGACATTAGCTTATAAACAGTTAAGCAAAGTTTCAGAGTTCTGTCACACCAACATTCAAAGTTTGTCTTAATGAATTTTACTTTTTAAGTTCGTAGACCTATTATTAAGAACTTTCTGTACTGTTGGGCATCTCTACTGAAAAGTAGGCCTATACATTACAGAGGATTTCTCATTTAATCTTGCATTAGAAAAAACTGCGCGCGCACACACACACACACACACACGCAAATGTTTAAAACGGGAATCTCGCCTTCTTCCAATTCACCTACTATTATGTAAAGAAAAGAAGGTTAAGAATGGCATCAGATATGTGTAGTAGCTCAGATGACATATTTTTTTTGATAAACATCTTGTAGAAGTTTCTTATAATCAGAGGTCTTGGCGTAATTAATCAGATTCACTCTGAGATGCCGTTCATGGGCAACCATGGGTAAACCTCAAATCAAAAGATTCATTTGTGCAGAAGAGCACTTCTGATGTACTGATGTAATAAACCAGAACAATGCTCCTCTGCAAGTAACGTACCAGAATTCTGTAGTGTACCTTTAATAACGTGCTGCAGGAATTATATATTTTTGTATAGGCCAAAACCCAGAGTTTGCATTTTAAAATTTGCAGCTCCGTGATCCTGAAGTTAATGGGTTTTTTGAAAGTGTTTTTAGTTAAATGCCTGAAATAAGGTCTGTGGTGAACTCAAGCTCAATCTATTTTCACATTTTATTCTACAACATAAATTTAGTCAGTAACACCCCCTTCTGATTTTTTTAAAGCTTTTAGTCATCATGAAAAAGGTGGCCGCTAACAAGTTGCTAAATGGCACTATACAGAGGTTGTCGGGACATTAAATGCCATCAAGACAAACAGATAAACTCACTTACTGACTTGTCATTGTGTTCTTAATTGGCTAGAAATTGTGAGTGAAAATATATTTTTCAAAATCCTCATTCTTAATACTTATCCAAAAAAATCCCAACTGGAGAAGTCAAGAGGCCTGTGAATATTTTTGTGGACGTTGTGGGGCCTTGGAGTCAAAAAGGCTGAGAACCACTGTGCAAAACAAAAACCTTCAACATCTGAACAGATAATACTGGAACCAGACATGACAAATCACAGACCAAACAAATTAAAAGACATTCCTTTAAACAAAGTGATAAAACTCAGTCAAAACACAGATGAGACAATCATAAACAATGAAAAAACACACAACAGCCATCCAAAAGCACTAACAATCACAGGAACCACAACAAAATTCCTGCTATACATCCACAGTTTCTACATACACTGTAAAAAAAATTCCGTAAAATTTACGGTAAAAAAACGGCAGCTGTGGTTGCCGGAATTTTACCGTAAAAAATACGGTAGCAACGTTTTCGGTTTTACGGTTTTAACTTAATTATTATATTAAATTATAACATTAGGTGTAACATACGACCCTAATATACAAAACTGATAAGAAAAAACTAAGAAGAAACATAGTTATTTCAACAAAAAAACATCAAATTTGAAATGTAACGCAGGGAATTCTGGGAATGTCAATTTACGGATATTCACTGTAAATTATACGTTCTTTTTCACTTCCAAAAAATGGTATACTACCGTAAAATTAATGTCCAATACATGTAATGTCCAATACAGTTTTTCACCGTATATAGTAGGTGAATTTACCGTTAACCATTTAACAGGTTTTTACTGTAGCATTTTTACAGTCTTTTACCGTTAAATTCACTGTCATTTTTTACAGTGTAGCATATTAGTAATATCAAGCGAATTCCCAGGAATATGACAACTTAACAGTATTTTGTGATCATAAACACCACATAATTGTACTTCACCTAAACAAACTTCTCCAAATAACCCCCCATGCGTCCCATGATCCCACACGCTTACCTTCTGCTGACACATCTTCTGATGCTCTGCACTGCTTTACTCTGTCTCAACATACTGCCAGAAGAGACCAGAGAGCATCAAGAGTTTGAGGACATGCTCGTCTCACCACAGAATTCACAGCTATCTCCAAACCTCCAGCAAAAACCTTGAATCTGACCAGCACATAGAAAGGACACGAAACCCTACATTTCCTTTGGAAAGTTCGAGCCCCTCCTGGGCTGTGTGTGGAGCACACAGTGGAATTTGCTATTGCTTATCCGTAATACTGGAGGTCTGAGTGCCAGTCAGCAGATACAGACGGGAACGGAGGAAAGTCCGTCTAACACTGGGTGGAGTGGGGAGATTAGAATCCCATGGGACAATCATGACCAAAATGAGAAAAGTAATGGTAGCGTAGTGCATCTCATCATGACATTATAATATCCGACCACAGAATTATGGTCCAGGAGCGTGCTTGTGGCAAAGGGACGCTATTTTTAGGAGTTAAGTAGAAGTTTAGTGTTGCAAGGTCAGCAAAATGATCTTGACCGTCTTACAGACTTCACTTCAAGGAAATTAAAAGACCAGCAACCACGTTTTAATTCCATTGCAGCTTGTTTCTGGCAGCGGCATGCCTTCATATAGAAGTTCTTCTTTCTCTTGAGGATTTGATGTTGATGTAATGAGGTTAAAAAGAGTCTGCCGAGGAGCTCTACCCGCAGACTGTCTGTTCATCTCTGTTGCTCAATGTTTCCGACCATGATTGGCATCAGGTGTCATTTAACACAAGTTAGAGGCAAATGTGTTTTGTTGACACTTGGGCAAATGAATATAATTATGTTTCTTTTCTTTTTTAAGAAGTGTTTCTAAGCCAGCACCACTATTACTATTTGAATAAAGTCTCGAACCAAAGTATTAAAAAAGTAATTTGCCCTACAAAAAAAAAAAACACAAAAAAAACAAACAAAAGAAAAATTTTCAACAAAAGTTTAAATGTAATGCTTTTAAAAAATCTGTCATGCACAACATATCTTCCTTACACAACTTAATCATTATTTTCAAAAAAAATGTGTTAAAAATTTTTTTCTTTCTTCTTTTTTTAAACAAATCATGAATTAACTATATGAATACATAATTATTATTGACCATGATACATAGTATATGTATGTTTAAGATATATATATATATATATATATATATAGTTTTCCAATATATCATTTTCTGTTTTATTGTTCACCATGTTGGTAACACCACATAAGTTTGATTAGGCAAGCAATCATTTTTCTAATATTTATACGATTTTAGAGCTTAAAACAAAAGAAAGAAAGAAAGAAAGAATAAAATGTTATGCCAGATGACTTTAAATGTAATGCCTCTAAAAATGTCATGTGGTGTACACAACATACATACATTTTTTTTTACACTTCTCTACACATTTTAATCATTATTTTCAAAAGGGTGTTTTATTTTGAACAATTATCACAAATTATTAGGCAGACAAAGGTTTTCAAATACTTCGAAGTATTTTACAGCATTTTTTAAAATTCTCAACATTTTATGACATTTTTTACATGTTCCAAACAATATAAAAGTTAATTTTTAATTAAAATTAAAACATGTAAACTGAGTTTGTATCCAAACTTTTTCTCATCAAATTAACCACTGCTTTATATTTACTATTTTTTGTTTACATTATGTATGTCCCTGTGGTAAATTTCCAACATTATACACACACACACACACACACACACACAGACGCACACACAGACGCACGCACACACAGACGCACACGCACACACGCACACACACGCACACACACACACACACATATATATTACTCATTACTTAATTATATCATTACAGACGCCTTAAAATAAAGTGTAACCAAAAAACTAGAATGACCCAGCAGCGCCCTGCTATTGCAAACAAACACATGGGTTACTCTATGAAGTATTCATCTTAAATCTCCAAAAAAAAAACACACAAAAAAAAACCAAACAAACACAGATGGTAATCAGACACAGGATGATCATGCTCTATCGAAACTATCAAAAAACAGGGTGGGTGGGGGAGATTTCAGCCTTGTTCAAACAACTTCCTGATCCTGTTGTTAGAAACGTAACTCCATGTGTTGATAAGCATGAAGTGC